GGGGGGGGGGGCGGGCAATGGAGGAGCTCACGCACCAGTCAGAGACGACGATATCGGGCTGCACCTTGTCCAGGAGGGCGGGCCGGTAGCCCTCCTCCACCAGGTCGATGAGCTGGGACTTCAGGCACATGCTGAGAGAGAGAGAGAGACAGTCAGGGTGCTGCTTCAGGGGCGATGGCCGAGAGCAGGAGGCACAGAGGCCCCCTCCTGGCGAGGGGAGGGGCAGGACTCACTAGTACGAGGTGACGAAGTACTTCTGGACCGCGGGGTCGGGAAGAGGCGTGCCCACTGGCTCAATGGCCCACTTGTCTCCCCCGTTGGACACCAGCGTCCAGCCCCTGAACTCGTCTGGAGAGGGGAGAGGAGGACAGGATGAAAAGAGGGGATTTGTTATTGCATCTGTAAACGTCGTTGACTCCGTCGTGGCCCGGGCGCCTGCGCTGGTCTCGGGGTTACTCGGGGGGACTCTCCCTCCTCACCGTCCGCCCGGGGATTCTTCAGCAGGTTGCGTCTCATGCGGCACAGGAAGTAGAACACCCTCCAGTCAGCCGGCGGGCAGGCGGGGTCGCAGGGCCGGAGCCCCTCCCGCGCGCACCTCCTCTTCCACAGGGAGGCGCTGTCCACCAGGTCCCGCCACAGCCGGCACACCCGCCGGCACGTGCAGACCACCTCGCGCGCCGGCAGGAGCAGCAGCACCTCCTCCTGCACGGGGACGGGGAGGGCGGTCCACGTCACTCGGGCCTGCGGGGGGCGGAAGCCAAACAGCGCGCCGGTCACTTCCGGTTCCGGTCCTGCCTGCGCGTCCCCCTAACTCTCCTTCTAATGAAGCAGCAAGTCAGTTTTACCGCAGCGCAAGGCGCATAACACCAACATTTCTCCCGCTGAGAGAATGTCGTGCTTAACTGTTACACCGGCGATTTATCGCCACCATCTCTCGAGCAAAATGGTCCGCTTAGGCTTCGTGCCTGCGTTATTTACTGCTTTAGCAGCTCAGTACCCGCGAAATATAAGACATCTGACGTACACGGAGTGAAAAAGCACTAGCGCGGTTTGTAGTTTCACTGCGCTGAAGGAGCTGGTGAGGAGCTCTGGGACTACATGCTAGATAAGATGGCGTTGCTCAAAGCAAGTCAAACCGGCGTACATCTCTAGTCCTAACGACTTCAGTGTTTATTTTTCCTTACGGTGTCCAAGTCCTCGGAGGAGGAAGCCGAGGCGGCGGGCGGTCTGAGCGACTGTCCCATGTTGTGGCTTCTCTGTCCGGGGCGGCGCCTACGGGACCTCCGGCCTGTGTGTCCGGGCATCTGCGGAGGAGACGCGCTGTGAAGGGGAAAGAGAAACCGGGCGACTCCGAGGAGACCTGAGCGCTCAGTCATTGCGAAACCAATACCCCGGGAGCACCTTGAACCACACGTGTCCCAGTCGGGGGTTTACACAGAAGAGGGAGAATTGGGTGCTTTCTCTAAAGACACGCCTTCACGTTACACTTGTAAAACACTGCAGTAGAGTTCAAGAACCGATTTTAAAATAAAAAACGATATATTTTTGTTATACCGAAAGCGTGAGTTTCGATGACGTCGCTCTAATCGATGACCATCCCTGCGGTGAGTCCGCGGTCCGCTCTGTCCGGCAGGGTTGTGCGTCACACCGGGGCCGCGAGTTTCACTGCCCCTCCCCGGAGCTCAGCTGGGCGCAGGCACGCCTTCGTTAACATCGACATCGCAATTAACGTGAACCAGCAGCAACAGCAGCTCTCGCAGTCCTCGGTAATATACCAATTAACACAAGAACTCGCCCTGTCCGCACCGCACGTCAGCAGCCTTGTTATGCAGAGGGTGTTGTTCTCCTGTCAGATGACTGACCAGGGCTGCAGCTGTATGTCCTGACGCGGAGCTGCTGTCTGAACCACTCTAACTAACCCGCCTGCTGCTGGGATGCGTTTGCATGGGAGCTGCCCGGAGGTCGTGTAGCAGGTGAAGTGTGTGCCTTTGTGTAGGAGTGTCGGGATTGTCGTTGTGTGTGTGGCTGGGCGCTCTGGTCCGGCAGGAGGACAACAGCAGAGCTGAGGGGGTGGGGTGAACAGTTTGAGCTGGAGGGAGAGAGGGAGGGGGGTGGAATTCGGCTGCAAGCTGCAGGGAGACCGTGAGACTGATCGGCGCTGTCAGGCGAGGAGGGGGAGAGGCTGGCTCTGGCCACGCCTGTGTCTGCAGTACAGCGTGAGGGCATGGTGCTGGGGGGTTTCATGAGGCCCCCTCTGGGACGGAGCGCATCGGAGCCAGCCAGCGTCTCGTGTGAGTCAGCACAACGTCCACCGGTTGATTGATTTTGCTGAGTGCCAGTGTGGTCTAGAGTATCCGAGTGCAGCTCTGCAGAACTCCAGTCACAGTAGACTGCAGAGAGGAGCGCTGAGCACAGCTCACAGAGAGACAGGCAGGTTAACTGCGTGAGTCATCAAAGCCGGTAAGGAATGTCCAGGAGACAATCTGCTTTTAAGTTTTTAAAGCTACATAACAAAAAAAAAAAGGTGCTTTGTTATGTCTGTGTGGGAGCTGGATCAAACATGGCTCTGGTGTCTCTGTTCCGCTCCAGAAAAGCAGACCATTTGAGAAGCAGGACTGATATTGGAGAGACTACTTGTTCGGGTCCTGGACACAGTGTGAGGCCTAGCAAGCTGAGTGTGTGTGTTGGACAGGAGGAAGATTCTGCTGTCCCTGGGTGAGCTGTGTGCAGCGGTGAGGGAGGAGCTCGGGACCGAGAAATGGAGAAGAGGAACCTGCTGAAGAATCCCTGTGGGGAAGGTAAGAGCCCAGCACCTCGTTAAGTAATTGCATAATTAGATGTGGTCGGTCTGTTTCACCACCACCTTGCGACTCTGATGTAACAGTAATCGAGCTGTCATTGCAGATAATTTTCTTGTTGTAATTTTAGCAATATTAAAATATCAAATTCCTCATTTAAAAATAATTGACTTTTACTTTCTCAATAAATTCCAACTTCACATTCCAGTTTATTTAGTATCAGTCTTTCATGGTGCCTCATGATTTTAATTCACAATACTCTTTGACCTTTATGTTGTACATTTGTACTGTTTGTCTTCAATTGTTTGAGCTCACCAAACCTGATTCTGTGCCACTAGTTGTTATGGCAATAAAATGTTGAACTGGAGCTTCAAACTCCTGCAGTGAGG